CATGAAAATTCAATATATAAATGTATATAATGATATATACAACATTAGATGTCATGCAGTTATAGCAGTTTGTATGTAAAATTCATATAAAAATTTAAATTGATATTATTACAAGTTTCTGTATGAAATTATCCAAGGTTTGTCCTATACTTGACTTTAATTTATGTCGCTTTCTTTGAAATTTATGGTTGCATATTTATATATGCATTTATCAATGGATATTTCATTATGGCTAATGATATATAAATTTGGTTACAGTAATCATACATGGTATAGTTCTTCGAATATATCCCAGCTATAGCTCTTGTCCTTAGTAGATGATGAAGCTTGAAGGCAATGAATAAGACCCATTTGTGAGCTTCTTCTTCCATCTAGAATTAATATATTTGATGTCATTATTGTCATTTTTGGTTTATTTTGTAACTATACTAATGTATAGATTATTTTATATTAGTTTTCCATGTGAAGCATAGAAACATTTATTGATTTTTAAACTAAAAATGAAAATCATCACTACCTCATTAACAATTTCTATCCTTCGGAATTGGTGTTGATCTTTAATATCTCTAATTAACTCTTGGTTTTTCTTATTAACTTTTTTTATCCATTTTTTCATTGCATAATAGTCAAATACATATCTCCTGCAATAATATGCTCGATATACAGATTGGATAGTTATTGCATTTTTGTTATAGAATTTGATGCACATTTCTACGACAGCCTCTTGGAGCCTTGCTCTGTACTTTCTTCGCCCTTAATGGTATATTTCACTATATTATTGTATAAAATACAATTTATATACAAATAATAGGAACTAGAGAATAGAATATGATGATATACTATTTTATTTTGGTACCTTGAAGACCTCTATAGTGTTTTTGAATCATAATAGCATTTTTGTGCCAAAATTCTACTCTTATTCTGATCATATGTCCACGCCATTGTGCTGCAATTATTCGGGCTGCTTTGAATTCTTTCAATTGCACTTTTTCACTCGCTCTAAACAGAATAAGATATTAAACTTATAATATAACACACTAGCCACTAAACTCAAGTCATTAAACCAAAACATTTGTACTTTTATCGTTCAACTCCTGAAAGTATTTTTTTTCACTTACAACTGTTAATTGTTAGTGGACATCTAATATAATTAATGATAATGAGTAGATTTTTTCAAAATATAACTGTCAATAAAATATAATTTCAATATTAAGTTCATTCATTACCAATATTTGTTTTTCAATACCCACTTGATTCGTTTCTGTAATTCGACGTGGAATTTTTTAATATCATCCAAGAAATGGATTACAGATGCCATATTTGCTTAAACATAAAAGATAAATATTAATTAAACTTTGATTTTAAATTCATTCAACTGTTTAATTTATATATAAAACAAGTTTTGACGTTTGTAGATAATTTTAATAAAGTCTCTTTCTTAATATAAATAATATATTTACAATTATAAACATTTATAACTAATGCTACTATATTATATAGTATTTATATATATATATATATATATATATATATATAAATATATATACACACAACTAATTGTGTTATTAAGTTATTTTTCAGGAATTTGAATTCATACTATAATTTTAAATAGTACTACAAAATCTGATACATATATTTTGTTAAATGTGATTGTATGTCATATTTAAATAATACAAAATATATTAACAACTAAAAAATTACATAAAACGGACTTACTCAAGTAATATGAGATGAAAAAATAAACAATTAACAATTATTTTTTTAAACTTCTACTATTATAATAATTGTCCAAGTATATAATCACATCTTGAATACTTTTTTCATAATAAAATGATTGGGGAAAGTTAGAAATATGTTTACTTATCAAGTAAATCCTAATTTTATTCTTATACTACTAATCCCCACAGGTAATTAAAGGTAGTTTTTAGAGGGTTTAGTGAAGATGCTAAGGTAATCTCTAATTTTCTCTTAAATTTATTAGTTGTTATTGCATCCAAAAGGAAAGAGCATAAACCCCAAATCATCACATATTACATATATCACTTGCTGTTCGTTTTTTATGATTTTTCAAATTTCTAAATAATTTAATTTACATTTTATCATATAGTTTTTATAATAAAGTAATAAATCTTATACTTATTAATTGCTAATTGTTGAAATTTGACTATTTTGCACATATTCCCCATAAGGACCATAGTTGACGACTCCAGAATTTGCAGGAAAAAGTCTTTGCAATGAAGCGGCCGTCATGTTGTCCATTGAATTATTTATTTGTAGAGGTCCCATTGATGATATACTCGGCATCATTACGTCCCTGGGAAGAAAAATATTAATATAATAAATATTGTATTGTATTAAATATATTAAAGACTATGAGTTGTGCAACCAAACGGTTGTCCTATCTCTATGTGATGAATTACAATTTATTAACTTCCCGTAGGGTAGTTATAGTAATGGGCCGAAAATCGAAAATGAAAATTTTTGCATTTCTCGACGTTTTGAAGGTTTCTGTACATTTTGGCATACCTCAGAAAAAATGGATGTGTGTGTGTGTTCTGTATGTCCGCATTTTTTCGTCACGGATCAACTAATTTGAATTGCTTAAAAAACATTCCATTCCTATTGATAGGGAGATGTGCTGATTAGTTTTTGGCAAAGGCAGGTACAGCCGTTTCGGAGATACGAAGCAAAGAATGCAGAAAATAGAAACCGAGTTTTTGAGAGAACGGAGCATCCGATTTGAATGATCTAAAAAACATTCAATTGGTAATGATTAGGAGAAAAGGTTATTAGTTTTTGGCAAAGGCAGGCCCAGCCATTTCCAAGATACAGAGCTAAATATGCAAAAAATGGCAGTTTTTGAGAGAACTAAGCGTCCGATTTGAATGATTCAAAGATCAAAACAGCATCTGCTTGTTTTAACAAAATAATTAATTTTGAAAAAAAAAATTGGTTTCAAATTTTTTTTTTATTTTTTTTTTTCAAAAAAAAATTTTTTTGTATATCGAAAATAAATCAGATTTTATTTTTAATTCTGACTGAAGTTCTAATATACTTTTAAACGAATAATTTCAACTTTGCAATTCAGTTTATATAATTCTTATAGATATTAGACATTGTTACAATATTTATAATAATCTATTTGAAACATTCAATATTCCTCGAACATTTCGTTACGGTACGGGAAGTTCCAGCAATTTGCCTTAAGGCACAATGCCATACACCCCACTAGTTTAATTTATTATTACAATTTTTGTAATGCTGATATTTTTTTGTTTATACCGCAATGCCTGCTTTGATTGTTGCTAATTATATTTTCAAGTTGCAGTCGAGCAGTCTGATGCTGCTCGACATCAGGCTGTCCGAAGAGGTCTTCGAACCTGGAAACTCTGACTACAAGTCTATATCTCTAACCACGAGATTTAGTTATATTAAATTTATTATCCTATTTCATTAAATAATTTATTATCCTTCTCAATTTCTTCGAACAATCAAACTGCTCTACATAATAAAAATTTAGTATCTAATTAATTCCGTGCAATTGCTTCTCGAACTCGTCGATTAAATTCGATATCATAACAAACTTTCACAATTGTGATTGTGTAATTTATTAAAATATGATCTGTTTATTTTTATTCATTCGATAATTTGCATCCTCGATTTGAATGAATGTCGATTATTTAATATTTGTGTCGTAAAATCGGAATCGAATTACAAATCAATCATTGAAGTAATACGATATAGTTGAGCATTCTCAAAATCGATTTGATTGATAATATTTGTTTGGTAAATAATAGTTTTATATTATTTCAAATTTAACTAGAGACTTGAGGACATTTAATATAATTTATTTCCATTCATAAAACCTTTAATGGTCCGGCTGGTATAACGATGTAAAAACAAAAGTTCGTCAATTGATTATCGTTAGAAGTAAAAATTTAATAACCGAGACCGTTTTGAAATGACTTCTGAGAAAAAGGAATATGTCACAGGACTGGGAATGCATTTATATTATATAGACAGAGAGCTGGAAAATATCTACTTAAATAATAGATTCATAAATTAATTATTTAAGTTATTTTCTATTTATTAAAATTAATCTATTGATAAATGACACCAACCCTAAATAAACCCTCATTTTAGGTTGATCGACAGATCGTCCGAAAATCTGATGTGGGACAGCAAGTGTGAAAATATTTTTATCTAAATAGTACTAAATATTTTTATGTTTATGGTTAAAAAGAAATTAATAATTAGGCATGTTTGTAATCGTTAGAAAAATTCATATTAATTATAAATACAAAAATATAAAGTTATTTTTGTATTAAAATATTGTATTTTTCTCTTATAGACAAGTTTATTTATCTAAGCTAATTTTTTTAGCCAGATTTGATTCACTATCAGGAAATATATTAAATAGCTAACAAAAAAAATTCCATTTTATAATATTTTATATTATGTATATACTACTCAAAATCAAAACGCAATTCTAACTAGTGGGGTGTATGGCATCGTGCCTTAAGGCAAATTGCTGGAACTTCCCGCACCGTAACGAAGTGTTCGAAGAATATTAAATGTTTTCAAATAGGTTAGAATAAGAAATATATAAACTGAATTGCAAAGTTGAAATTATTTATTTGAAGTATTATATTGAGCTTTAGAATTTTGAGAAAAATTAAAATTTAATTTATTTTCTATGTTAAAAAAAATTGAAACATTTTTTTTCCAAAATCAATTATTTTGTTAAAACAAGCAAAAAGTTCTTTGAATCATTTAAATCGAGCGCTTAGTTCTCTCAAAAACTGCCATTTTTTGCACATTTAGCTCTGTTACTTCGAAATGACTGGGCCTTCTTTTACCGAAAACTAATTACCACTTCTCCCAATCATTACTAATTGAATGTTTTTTAGATCATTCAAATCGGATGCTCCGTTCACTCAAAAACTCGATTTCTATTTTCTGCACTCTTTGCTCCGTATCTCCGTAACGGCTGGACCTGCCTTTGCCAAAAACTAATCAGCACATCTCCCTATCAATAGGAATTGAATGTTTTTTGAACCATTCAAATCGGTTGATCCATGCGCCCGAAAAGGTGAACGAAAAAATACATTTTTCCGCACACCCACGCACACATCCATTTTTTCTGAGGTATGCCAAAATGTTCAGGATCCTTCAAAACGTCGAGAAATGCAAAAAATTTCAATTTCGATTTTTGGACGATTACAATAACTTACCCTACGGGAAGTTAATAATATAAAGAATAACTATATTTAAATTGGCCATTACCAAAAATCTTTAACTTCATCCACATGTGAACTTCCAATTGTTAACCGACTCTACCAGAGGTCATCATTATATACTTTTAAAGACCCCATGAACAACGGACCTTTTCCTTTTTCTTTCATTGTACCGAGAGGTCCCAATAGGCACGTACTGACGAATAAAAATGATGAATGTGATTTTTTTTTCAAAACTCGGTTTTATGACACATATGGCACTTGTAACAACTTTTGTGAGTCAGGTTCATTATTTTTTGTGGAATTTGGTAAAAGGTTCAAAACGGAGGCAGGAGGTCGCTTGACCCTTGAAAGGATGGATTGGAGAGAAATCTTTGATTTAATTTATTCAGAAACAGACAAGGAGAAATAATAGATGGTTTATGTACTAGATTTGTTTTCATTTTTATAATTAGAACATTTATTGAGATATACGTGTGTAATATCGAGCTTTCTGTGCCTGTGTAAAAATTGACAAGAATTGTTGCAGGTTTTACGCATTTATTATTTGTGCTTATGTGTTTTATGTAGATGTATGTATTATATATATATATATATATATATATATATATGCAAATAACGATTTAAATGCTTCGCTTGTTTATAATATGATGTTCCTTTCGCGTGGCATTCGAAAACTTATATTGTTAGTCAAAACAAATGGAAACGACCATATCAGTAAGCGTACAATACACATAGTTTATGACGAATATTTTTTATTTTATGGCAAATATTTACTGATCCACATCAATTACGAGTTAACTAAATCTAGGATGATCAAGAGCAATTCATTAATTTTGCTAGCCTCTGTAGACCAACGTTTTAAAATTTTTTTCAGTGGTACCTTTAAATGAGAAATTGTTGAGATAAAGATAAAAACATTATAATGTGTCCTGTGTCCGTATCTTATATCTTCTTATATATAAAAATGAATTGCAAAATGTGTTGGTAAGCGTATAACTCAACAACGCCTGGACCAATTTGGCCAATTCTTTTTTTTAAATGTTCGCTGATGTCCAAGGATGGTTCTTACGGCGAGAAAAAATCGAATAATTGCCGGGAAAACCCTAAAAACAGCCCTTTTCTTTTTTACATACAAACGTTTACTAACGAAAACGTAGAATCAATTTGAGCTTTATTGCTATTATGTAAAGTTTATATTAAATTACAAGCACTCACTGTATACTCCTTCTAAACCATTATGGAGATTTTGATATATCTTTCTGAAGTTTGTTAAGGAAATTTTCTAGGATGTATGTGCTTATAAAGTACTGGGATGTATGTGCAATATTGTAGAAATAAATGGAAAAATAATGTAAAAGCGACATGTCATTGTTTGCATTGAAAACAAATGAAAACTATCATCTGCCAAAAATTTCAATTTACTTATGAACCTGGACAATATTAGAATATGTATGATTTTATGATTATGAATAAGAAAAATGAAATGTCTACATTATTATTGCCCAAAAACAGCTGAGTTGTGTCAGAAATTAAAATAATATAAAATACAGTATATGTATGGAAGATTGAATGATACGCATATGAAAAAATTTATTCACTTAAAATATGAAATTAAGTATCAATCAGGGCCGGTCCTATTTTTAATGCGATGCATGCGAAATATACGAGCGCACGCCTTAGGGGGCGCCAACACATGATTCGGATATTAAAGATTCAATATAGTATTTTTAAATATATAATTTCTTTGCATCTTTTACTAATCTTTCCACAATATTTTTAAAATTCGTAAACATTTCACTTTATAACAACAAATGGGAAAGTGAAGATGAATACATACAATTCGGCCCTCACGATATCGATTAGGAGAAGTTTAAGATGCAATTTTGGATATCTTAAATAATAAAAAATTAAATTAATTTAATCCTTCATGAAGTACCAGTGTTATCTTATGGTTGTGATTATGTTATACCGTTTAAAAGACTTCAATTTCCAATATAGTGTGGGAATTGAGACTCATCATTTTATTTAAAGCAGTTCTACATTTAGCATTGCTCATATTATAAATGTATATGCATTTTGGCGTGAAGAGTAATTTAAAATACAATAATAATTATTTTTAGGTAAACGGTAAATATTATTATATTATATTAAAAAACGTTAAATGTTCTATATCAGATTTTCCGACGATTTGCCGTTGACCTGAAACGAGGCTTCATTTAGGGTTAGTGTCATTTGCCGCACCGGTGTTGAAAGGTTTATCGAGAGCTTTCGATTGAATTTTTTTTATATTTGTTAGAGTGTAGCTCTGGTTTTAGTTGTTGTCTAAAAACCCTTTGTTTTATGGTATAGATGTATATAATATAAAATTTAAAATCTGTTTCATTTTCCGCTCCGTCAGCAGAAGCACAATTGTAAAACACAGCGCTTGAATAAGTGAAATACGAAGCTCTGAAATCTACGTTGTCCGACATGTAAACGCAGATGAGCGCGTAGTTTCCCACAAAATTGGCACACGTTTCGATTAAGTTGCGAAATTTCCGAGAAGTCAAAAAAATACTGATTCTTCTGTCCACCAGATCTGAGGTAATAGAGCTTTGTCATCTCTTTTGATTTTTTGCAACAATCGCGCTTTCTGGCCGATGGCGCCGTTTATAGTTGTTGTTTTGATGCGCAATTTGGATAGAATGATATATAGATATATTACTTACATTGGTTTGGTATTTAATTAATTTGTTCTGCTTTAGTTCAATGGTTAGAGCAATGGGATTTCAATTAGAGGTTCAGGAACATGAGTCCAGAAAATTACTAAAAGCTCATAAACTCAATTAGGAGTAACTTACAACACTTTTCTAGAGAATATTTGTATATATATATGTATATATATATATATATATATATATATATATATATATTATATTACTTGCATTGGTTTTCTATTTAATTATCCGAATATCCATTGGATTAATGGTTAGAGTATTTATTTATTTATTTATTTAATAATTTTACAAGCCGTCGGTATAATAATATTATAATAAGGCTCAAGTCAATATTTTGCGGATTTAATATAATTTAATTAACGATTATCTATTTTATTACTTATTTATTTATTATTTAATTTATTTACTATAGACATATTTATATTTAGTCAATTTTATTTAAATTTTTTTATTTAGTAATGGAATTACTAATCAGAGTTTCCAGGTTCGATAAATATGTCCAGAAAATTAGTAAAAACTCAGAAACTCAATTCAAGAGAAACTTACAACACTCATTCTGGATAATGTGAAAATTTAAGTTTGAAATTCTTACTATAAAATAAGGCATTTAGGTTGCTTAATTGTTATTATTTTGAATTATTTATATAATTTTTCAACAATAAAATCTCATTAAGTTATAGATTTAGGTCATTTTTTGGAAAACAACTTAAACCTATTTTTTTAAACCAAATTACCAACTAGTGGTGAATGGCATTTCGGTGCGAGAATTGTATACGTAATAAGTTTATAAAAATTGTATCCGAACATACCTACTCAAACTAACACACACACATACACACATTAATCATTTTTTTCTGAGGTATGATAAATTGTTCAGAAATTTTTGAAACGTAAAGATACTCAAAAAATTTCATTTTTGTTTTTTTTTACGATTACTAAAATTCGTAACTAGACCTAACTGATTATAAAAAACTACTGGGGTGTATGGGATCGTGACTTAAGGCAAATTGCTGGAACTTCCCGTATCGTAATTAAAAATCTTGGTACGAAACCCGAAAAAAATTACACAAAATGTGTACACATTATTAAAATCTCTATAAAATATCTGATAATTGATGTGCTAAGTCCAATAATCATTTTTGACCGCCAAATGACATTTCTTTAACTTATTTTTAATGAGAGTCCTTAACCGCTGGACCTGCCTTTTCAAAAATTTAATCAGTTCTTCATCTTGTAAATACAAGTAAAATGTTTTTTGAATTTTTAAAATCGGACGCTCCGTTCTCTTAAAACCTGAGTTGCCGTTTTGTCACTTTTTGTCCCGTATTCTCAAAACGGCTAGACCTGCCATTGCCAAAAAGTAATCAGCACATCTTCCTGTCAATAGGAATCGAATGCTTTTTGAACCATTCAAATCGGTTGGTCGGTGTTCCCGAAATCGTCGACGAAAATTTGTCACGCACACACACACACATACATCCATTTTTTCTAGGGTATGCCAAAATGTTCAGAAACTTTTGAAACGTGAAGATATATAAAATTTTTCATTTTCGATTTTTTGGGGTTACTATAACCTAGCATACGGAAGTTAAAGAATTAAAATAATTAATTTAATAAAAAATATAGAAAAAAAACTTACGATCTATGTTGTGGCGTTCGATCTCTCTGTCTCCGATTTTTAAACCAATTTGAAACTTGTGTTAAAGTCAAACCAGTTCTTTTGGCTAAAGCTTTCTTTTCATCAGGTGTTGGATATCTACAAAAATACATTTTTTTTTTAAAAAAATTTACAAATTAACATAAATTAGTTACTTCTAATCAATCGATTCAAATCAAACGTTAGTTTGTAGGATTGCTAAATGATTTTATTAATATTTTACTTTAAAGAGCTTAAAAATTACAGTAATCTACTATAATGGATTTTGATGTATTTTTAAATCCCAGTGGAAAAAATATATATTTTTAAAAAATAATTTAATAAACAATAGTACTATTACTTATTATGAAACCATATAACATTATTTATTGACCACGAATTGCTTATGAAGTAACTGACACAAAAACTTCCAAAACGTTGTTAATATTTTGCATTAGTTATATCTATGATTTGATTCTTTTTTATTAGAATTCATTAATGATAATAATTAAAAAAATATTTGCAGTTTTAATTAAATTTAAATTGAGAACCCGTTGTCTAGATAAATCCTAGTCGTCGTTCATAGTTATCTCTTAATGTACTCGAGATAGGTTCAAGGTAAAAAAATCATAGGATAGTTTACAGTTGGATTGTGGTTCATTATCCTGAATTAAATAACAATCTGTTTTTTAATCTGTAATATTTATAACACAAACAATCGCCAAGGAATAGGGAACATAAAAATGCTTTACGAGGCGACACGGTGTATCCTATTTCAAAAACTGAAATAACAATTCGTCCTCGAATTTCTGAACGCACTTCGTCATACAAAAGCCTGACCTCATTATAATTAAAATATTTGGAATTAAACAGGATAATGATAAAAAAATATTGAAATTATAATTTTTCATATCGACCAAAAGAATCAGACTTTTTACATTTTAAGGTATCGTTTATTACCACCAGAAATAATTTACATAATCAGTAGATGTGTTAATTATAATGTAATTTTTTTGATAATTATTTTTTTTTAATTATATATTTTTACCTGTTTCGGTCGTAGCAATCTTTCAAAGCATTCCTACTTTTTTCTTTGAAACAATAAACAGTTTCTTCGCCATCCCAAATAGTTTTTGGCAAAGGATATTTTTTACGCAATCTATATTTGTCAACAGCACCTGTAATTGACATGAAATAATTAATATGAAAGGAAATATTATTAATAATTAAAGTTCATATTTATTGATATTTATGTGGATTCAACTCGTTTCAGTAACAAATTAATAATAATATACAAGTACAATAAACTCAAGTCTATTAATAACTTTTTTTTTTAATCTCAATTTTTCAAAATCTCTGCAATGGTCATTTTGAATTTTAAAGTATTTTTTTTTTATCCTAGAGTTTTACATGTTGTCCATTTCAGGATAGGTGTAAAAATTACTATATAATATAAAAATGTTTTTTATACATTCAACAATAATTTGAAAAAAAAAATTATAATTATGTAACAGATTTGTTGATTATATTACAAACTGAAAATTATATTGCAAAATATTTAAAATATTTTTTTTATTTAGAACAACGAGATTTGACTATTTAAGTATACTTGATGCAAAATATTTGTTTTTTTTAATGAAAATTTTAAAAAAAAGATCCATATTTTTAATTTATATATTAATTTCTTTTTTTTATTATATGTAAGTATTTAGTATTTTTTGTAAGTTATTATTTAATAAATGACTGTTAGAAGACAACTTTCAAATAGTTGACCTATCTATTATATTTTTATTGGAATTATATATTCATTATATTTTATTAGATTTTAATAGAATTTAGAACACTGATGATATATTTCCAACAAAAATTGATAGTCATTTCATTTTAAATTGGTTGTGATATCCGAAATTTGATAAAATACCCTTTATAAGGTAGTCAGATTTTCATACAATAATTGTTATATTCTATGAATGCTATAGCATCCACTTAAAGCTTCTATTTTACGCAATTTTCTTGCTCAAGATAATACGAAAATATCTAAAGAATCAGCTAGTCATTACCTTGACAAGTATAATTAATTGCAAAAACGTATATGACTATTTTTTTTTGTTTTTATTTTTAGTCTTAAAATACAAACTGTTTGCTTAGGTAATAAAAAAACAATCTAATAAAGTATATATATAATCGTAACAAATATTAAGAAACTAGAAATATTAAGAAATTATATATTGAAAAAAAAACTATATTGAAAATTAATATCCGAATTTTGGTTGACGCCCCCTAAGGCGTGCGCTCGTATTTTTTGCATGCATTGCATTAAAGCAGGACCGGCCCTGATTAATACTTAATTTCATATTTTAAGTGAATTATTTGTCATATCTGTTCATATATGTATCATTCAATCTACCATACAATATATATACTGTATTTTATATTATTTTAATTTTCTATCACAGCTCAGCTGCTTTTTGGCAATATAATGTAGACATTCATTTTTCTTATTCATAATCATAAGTTTATTATACATATTCTAATATTGTCTAGGTTCATAAGTAAATTGAAATTTTGGCAGATGATAGTTCATTTTGTTTTCAATGCAAAACAATGACATGTCGTTTTTTTTGCATTTTTTTCGTTATTTCTATAATCTGCACATACTTTATAATCACATACTTATAATCCCATACATACTAGAAAATTTCCTTAACAAACTTCAGAAAGATTTATCAAAATCCGAATAATCGTTCAGGAGGAGTATACAGTGAGTGCTTGTAATTTAATATCAACATTTATATAATAGCAATAAAGCTCAAATTGATTCTACGTTTTAGTTAGAAAACGTTTGTATGAGAAAAAGAAAAGGGTTGCTTTTAGGGGTTTCCCGGCAATTATTCGATTCTTTATCGCGTAAGAACCATCCTTGGACTTCAACGAACATTTTAAAAAATAATTGGTCAAATTGGTCCAGGGTTGTTGAGTTATGCGCTTACCAACACATTTTGCGATTCATTTTATATATAAGAAGATTTCTAGTTAAATGATCATACTGCTACTGCTTGATATCAGTTTTACCATGTATGTACGTCCAAAACCTATAATATTTTCATACCACCGCTATATCGTCGAATTGCGGGAGTTATGGTTTAAACTGAACATTTAAATAGTCTAGTAACAATTAAAATACAATACAATTAAAAAGATTTCTTAGTTAAATGGTCATACTGCTACTGCTTGATATCAATTTTACCATGTGTTGTCCAAAACTTAATAATATTTCATATCACCGATTATATCGAAGAATTTCGAAGTTATGGTTAATCAAACATTTAAATAGTCTAGTAACAATTAAAATATATATTTATAATCATCTATCCCATTACCTAAGGGTCTTCCTCGTACTTTTTCCGCTTCCCTGTAATGTGCCCTGAACCACAATGTTTGCAATTCGGCGTGATATCTTGAATCAAATGTGTGAGCCTCAAGTATAGAGTATAATTCATGAAAGACGCCCCTGTGGAAAGCCACAGAAGCCCTGGCCCTGCCGAAATGGACAAATATAATATTTCAATAGAATAAATAGAAAAACGTTAGGACCTTTGCGAAATGCCCAGAGGAAGGATTTTTAGTAAAATACGGGAACTTGTGGACGAGATACAATACTTGTAATTAAATTATAAAGGTTCGAGGGGAAATAACAGGGCCGACGATAGCCACCATTTAAAAATGTTTAAAAATTGCAAAATTTTTGTTTAAATCTTAAATAATTTTGCCAAAATACTCATATTATCTATAAAATAACCAGTTGCTCTTGACATTCATTCGATTATTTTTAAAATTGAATTGGAAATATTACTTGTTGCGTTATAAATTAATTATTATTTGTTCTAAATTGTGAAATCGAGATTTAGAGTGTAGAACAAGAGATATAATAATACAATAGTAAAATTATTAGAAACAATAAAATAAAAAATAAGTAAATTTTCTATTTTTCCTAATTATCCTTACATAAAAAACACAGCAAATTTGAATATTTTTTATGCACTGATCTTACTCTTACTTTCTTTATTTATAAATATAATTAAAAAAAATGCTTGATATTATTTTTATTTTATTATTAAAAAAAACTTCATCAACTAAATTTAATTTAGTTATTAAAATTGAAAAATCTACTAAAAGTACTAGTAGGTACATTTCAGAACTTTAATTGGATAATTTACATAGATTTTCAAAATTGTAGATTTTTTTCTTATGCAAGAACAGATATGTAAAGAAGTTTGTATGAAGACATATGTAAACAAAATAGGCCAATTTACTTATTTATTCATCAATTTATTTTAATTCCTATCCAAGCTGTTTGTCGAATGTTAATGGAATATTTAACAAGATTAAATCAAATGAAATATAGAATATTATTTAATATTATAGTACCTTGTTCTACTCTTAAATCTAAATTTTAAATGAATTTTATACTGAAAATTTGGGGCAAATGCGACTGAAAAAATGACTAATGAGTAGTAATAAACTGATTAAAAATAAATGATTTCCAAAAAAAGATCATGTAATTTTCAAGAGCTTTAATTTAATATTTAAGATGCTACATTTATTTAGAATTGCAAAGAAATAATTGAAATACACTTATAGATATAACAGTATTAAATATCTATTAAATACAATGTAATCTGTATTTTTTTTCAAACATATTGTAAGTAAGTATATTGCAAGTTAAATACATATTGGCTAAGTAAGTAATCTACTTACTAAGCCATTCGTCGAATTAAAAAATGAATTATTTACAATTATTTATTTAAACGTTTTGACACTTTATATATGCCATCATTCAGCAATCGTACCAGAATTAGTAAAACACAGAATTAATATGAAATTTTAATTTACTCAAACTGATTTTGATTTCAGTAATCATTGATTAAGCCATATTATTTCAAAAAACTTTGAATGTTATAATTTTATAACAATAGTTATAATGAATAAGATGATAATAATACAAATAAGTTAATTTTTTCATAATGGTCGTTATATAATAAAATATTAAATTAAGATTAAGATAAAATATTAAATAGTTTATTAGTTTTAATTCTGCGTTTTGTATCCTAGTTTGCTTAATAATGAAACGTATCAAGGTCGAAACGTTTAAATATAGAATTGTAAATATTAGTCCACATATGGATATATATATATTGGTGGTCCTCAATATGGACATTTTCGAATTTCCTTGCTCCCAAGGGCTCAGATGGCTCCAAACTGATAAAAAACAATTCTCTGAAAGTTTTAGCTCTTAATATTAACTTTAAATAGTGGGAGCAAGGAAAATTCGAAAATGTCCATATTAAGGACCACCCTAATGTGACCCCAAGAATAAAGACTTTGAAAATAATAACTATTAATAAAAAAGTAAAAAATACCACGAAAATTACCATGTCGTACAAACAAAGATTTAAACGAATTGAGTGAGGAATCTCTTACTCGAAGATTAAAAAAATGGCCTTACAATCTAAAATAAAACGTTATAAAAATGGAGATATTCATTGGAGATAATATATACTGTTGCTGCAATTATTATAAATAGAATTAATAATAAAATATAAATGAAATAGGTTAGAATATTATACATATTTTTTTACCAGATTTGATTTTTTACCTCAAAACGCTCTCGTTCCCCCGAAGAAGTTCCGTAGGCGGCAAGCTCCACAAAAAAGTCGCAAGTCTCTCCAAATCTCCGCGTTGCTGCAAAGCTTCGCACATGCATTGAATTTGTTCGTACTAAAACTAACTAATTTCTATTTCCATCCCCTGTTCCGTCGAAGGAGTATTATAAAGCACCGAATTTTCCCGATTTTCCGCCAACCTCGCCGACGGCCCTGTGCTTTCCAAAGTCTGCGAAATCGGTTTCGGCTCCAACGTCTCGCATTTGGAGAAGAAGTCGTTGGATAAAATTTAAGGTTTTTCCGCGGTCTTCGACGGTATTTGTCATATAGTAAGGATCGTTTTTTTGGTATTTGGTACAAAACATGAAGCTTTTATTGGTGTGTAAAAATCGTCTGTGAATTCGCTGGAGATTCGTTTGATGGCGTATAAATTTCTGTTGGCGTTTTGGGCGAATAAAACATTTATATTCGGTTGTTGTTCGTAATAGTTCATGTTGGGGTTGATGTTTAGATTTCCATTTTCTTCACTTGAAGCATTTGATTCTACTAGTCGTTCGGGGGGATGAATTTGTTGTCATATTACTACTTAGTAGAGGTGGCTTATTTGTATCCATGGTAAATGTAATAAATAATTGTAATAAAAACTAAAATAATTTGATTTTATTGTCCACCTTTCACTACGCTATTTGATATTAATCATGTCAATAGAATTTTAATCGCTCATGGAACTACTAAAAGCTTATTTGTTTATTAAACTTTATTACACTCGATAATATACGTGTTTTTGGTAGAAGTATATACTATAGTTTAAGTAATCGTTATTATACTTATGAATAATATATGGATAAATGTTAGTGTTCAAACCAGTTAAATATTATCAACAAAAATTTGTGTAACACCTACAGCACATTTAGCTTATCGGAGAAGAAAACATTTCAAATATATTGCATTGCGTATTTTTGACTCTCTAAAAATAAAATGAATTTTGAATTTCTAGACTACACATTTTTGTTGTTCACTAATATTCACAAAATCACAAACTTCACTATTGCAATGTAACTATGTAAACCCTTGCTGATTAAAAAATTGATATTTACACTAAAATCACTTTTATAAAATATGTCTATTAGTTGTATAAAATAATATTATATTTCAATGGTAAATTTATATTATGAATTTTTATTATTCCAAGGGAGTCCCCAAATAAGTCGGTTTTAAACTTAGGCCCTAAATCGGCTATCTTCTCGGTTCGACGTTTCTAGAGCACTGCGCCGGTTTGCACGCCCGTGCGATGATTTCGCCTCGGGAAAAATGGGCGGACCGAGAGGGCTGTTATGATTTGTGTATATACAAAATGAACAATGTGCTATGCTCAATCATCGATGATTAATAGGGTATTTTGGGTTTTAATTACTATTATTTTTAAACTATAAAAAAAAACATTTGGGTTTCATACTACGATATTATTTTAATGTAAATTCTACCCTTTGCACGCTTATTTATTTAATTTATGTTTATTATTATCATTATTGTTAGATGTAATTATTTAACAGTTGTAATAAATATAGTAATTAAAAAAAATGGTGTTGTGATTCACTCTATGCTCAAATCATATGTCCCTACCATTATATTACTGGATTTGTCTCTACTTTTGATAGTTCGTAAATTTTGTGTTAATTCAAAACGCTTAGTTTCAATAATTATTAACTTCCCGTGGTGTAAGTATTGTAAATCGTCCAAAAAATCGAAATTGAAAATTTTTACATTTCTCACGTTTGAAGGTTTCTGAACATTTTGGCATACCTCAGAAAAAATGGATGTGTGTGTGTGCGGGTGTGTGTATGTATGTATGGATACAATTTTTCGTCCACGGATCAACCGATTTGAATGATTCAAAAAACATTCGATTCCTATTGTTAGGGAGATGTGCTGATTAGTTTTGGCAAAGGCATTTCCAACCGTTACGGAGGATAAGGTGCAAAGAGTGCAAAAAATAGAAATCGAGCTTTTGAGAGATCGGAGCATCGATTTGCATGATCTAAAAAACATTTAATTCGTAATGATGGCGAGAAGTGGTGATTTTGGCGAAGGCAGGTCTAGCGGTTTTGGAGAGATACAGCGCTAAATGTGCAAAATATTTGCAGTTTTGAGAGAACTAAGCTTTCCGATTTGAATGATTCAAAGAACTTTTTGCTTGTTTTAATGAAATAATTGCTTTTGAAAAAAAAATTGTTACGATTTTTTCAATTTTTTTTTCAGAAAATATTTATTTTGTCGAAAATAATTCAGATTTTATTTTTAATTGTGACTAAAGTTCCAATATACTTTAAACAAATAATTTAACTTTGCAATTCAGTTTATATAGTTCTTATAAATATTAGGCAATGTTACAATATTATAAAAAATATATGAAAACATTTAATATTTCTCGATCATTTCGTTACGGTACGGGAAGTTCCAGCAATTTGACTTAAGACACGATTCCATGCACCTCACTAGTGCAATCTTATATTTCAACAGTTACATCTATAATATAAATAATTATATTATTAGCTTGTTAATTTTTTTATTAAAACCAGGATAACTGATGATTCTATTTAGAATATTATACACCAATAATATTAACTATTTACTACTCTATTAATACGTTTATGCTACTCTATAGTGCTTCTTT